CATTGAAATACCCTATATGTCGGGTTTGTTAAGGTATGGTGTCGAAACAGACAAGCTGGAGACGAAAAACCATCGTTTTCGCCATTTTTGACATGTTCAAATCTTACAACTTGATTTTTAAAGAAATCTTTCGGGAAAACGCCGTGAAAGGATTTGACAAATTTTGTGGCTGACTTCTCTCTGCACAAGTTTGTATTTAGGTTTGATATTGAGCTACAATAGAAACAGTAAGAGTGTTGTGTCGGTCGCCTTTGAGCGCCTGGCGGGGGCTCTACGTTAGCGTACCGCGCACTGGCGCCGGTTCTTTGAATTGGTTTATCCCCTTGTACCTACCTCATTACCAAATAAAGGTATAGAAAAACGGTCTTTGACAAAGTTGTAGGCAATACAACCCTTTAAGACATTTATTAAAGTATTTACAGTCGTTTTCCTGATATTTTCCTGGTAAAACTTAATACAATTAGGTTTGAACACGTGCAAAATGGTAAAAACAATGGTTTTAAGCCTCTAACTTGTCCATTTCGAAACTTAACCTAACAGACCCAACATATTCTGAAAGAATGTGTTGATTTTTCCTAACAGCGATTGCTATAACGAAATCGTGCTGTAAAAAATGTGCAGTGGGTCGCACCTTCATATTGGCTAACCCTTTTCTGTTCGTCAGGTCCCGGCCGTCGAGATGTGGGGCAGGTGGGGCAGGAAGACCAAGCGGCAGTGCATTGACGACCGGCACGTGCGAGCCATGTATATTGGTGACGACGCTGTCCGTGCAACGGACAACCCCTCAGAGTGGAAGGTGCGGAGCTCAGCAGGGGACGAGTTCTATACGGTGCGGAAGCTGAGTGATGCCTGCCCCCAGGTGTCGTGCAGGGAAACGAACAGGTGAGCGTACGGCAGGATGCACGCGCGGTGTAAGGGGGTAGAAGAAAAATACAAAATCATTCGAGGATGGAGGTTAGACTAAAGTTTAAGTCGAGTCGTTCACGGTCCTCCATGTGATGTGCGTCTGTTAAACACGTCAGTAGCGAGAAGAGAGGTGGCATAGAGAATCAGGAGGTCATTTATCGCCATCAGTTGCACAGTTAAAAAAAA